TGGGGGCGCGCGCCTGGAGCGCCAGCCCCTGGGAAGGCCGGGCGGCAGGATCGCCGGAGCCCAGCCCGTCGAGGCCGCGGGGGCCGGGAGCCTGGCCCTGCCCTCCAGGGAGACCCCGACTCAAAATCCAAACGAAATAAAGAAACACCGCGGGCACCGCGCGAGCAGCTTTCGCCCCTCCTGAGCGCGGGGCCCGCCGCGAGGTCACCTTCAGAGCTGGGTCCCCGGCCAGGGGTTTCCCCAGCTCTCTTTCTGTGGTGCATTACCAGAGAGTTAACACTTTAGTGGGGCCAGGAGTCTCCACCCCAAGCTAATGCTTATTAACGTGATCACAAGTGGTAACGTGATGCAAAAGATGAAATTTTACTCCCCGGGATGAAAGGCCTGCTCTGCAAAAGATGCAGGTGCTTCTCATTTGTAGCGGCCACTGTACGCTGGGAAAAGTCATCGTCTGGAGTCAGTGGAGGACTGTTGAGTACTTGGCGCAGAACATGATACCCCAAAAAATGAAGGCCCGGGCAGCAAAAGTGTTTCTCTGAGTCCTCCGGCCCTCCTGTCTCTCCCCATTTCCCCCAGAAGCGAGCCCTGGAAGCTAGAATCTTCTCAAGGTGGGTCATAGCACCCAGAGCCCCTTTTCCCCAAAGCCAGCCATAAAACCTAAAAATATGACTCCAACTTTCCCCCAGCCTTTCTGTGTATAAACTGGCCATACAGAAATGATCTGACCGACCTATTCCAGAGAGTTCTGCCCCCCCACCCAGAAAGAAGGAATGCCGCTCAGAGAGGCCAAGCAGAATCTAAACAGACAGGCCTTGCTGGGTTTCCCCACTCATTGGAATCAGGTCCTTTTCGTTCAATCGTAGTTTTACCTAAGCATAAACGTGGACAATTTCCTGTATAGCTTTAGGTCTTCATTCTGAAGGTCTCTGTTTCATGTAAGACTGTGATCAAGCCGGGCTGGGTTGCTCAGCCTGTAATCCCGCTCCTTGGGAGGCTGAGCTAAGTGGATTGCTGAGCCTGCGGGTTCGAGACCCGCCTGGGCAACTTGGTGAGACCTCCTCTCTACAATAAATCAAAAATTAGCCGGGTGTGGTAGCACGTACCTGTAGTTCCAGCTCCTTGG